TCAGCGGTCTGTGTGTGTGTGTGTGTATTCAGCAGTGGGCACTCACCAGTGTGTTTTAGCAGAGTGTGTGTGTACTCGGCAGACTGTGTGTGTGTGTGTACTCAGCAGACCCTGTGTGTGTACTCAGTAGGCCGTGTTTGTGTGTGTGTGTGGGTGTGTACTCAGCAGTCTGTCTGTGTGTATCCAGCATTGTGTGTATTCAGCAGACTATATAAGTGTATTCAGGGCCGGACTGGGAGAAAAATTCGGCCCGGGCATTTTTTTAACACAGCGGCCCACTAAAAAGGGGGCGGGGCAGAGGAGGTGTGTTTTGTCATCACCAATGACAAACACGCCTCCTCTCAAAGTGAGCATGTTGGTTCAATGCTCTTCCAGGGCAGACCATGCGCAGAGCTCTGCTGAAGAGCTCTAGCATGAGAAAAAGTCCTGTATTTGTTCTGCACAGTGCAAGCAAATTTAATAACATGCTTGCACTGTGTTTCCTTGCAACTTGTCTCTGGTGTCTCTATAAATGGATACCAGGAGACAAAAGGCCAGGACAGAGTATTGTGCATGTGTTTGGAGCCTGCTTGTGGTATTGCGTGTGTGTAGAGTGAGCTGGTCGCGGTGTGGTATTGTGTAATAAGGTCGGTTTTAGTCGTGTTGTGTTTGTGGTGTAATGTGATGCATATGTGGCTCAGGGACCCCCTCCCGCCCGGCTCTGGAAAGGGGTTAAAACTTACCTTTTTCCAGCGCCGGGCGGGGAGCTCTCCTCCTCCGATCCGCCCCGTCGGCTGAATGCGCACGTGCGGCAAGAGCTGCGCACGCATTCAGCCGGTCGCATAGGAAAGCATTTATAATGCTTTCCTATGGACGCTTGCGTGCTCTCACTGTGATTTTCACAGTGAAAAGCACGCAAGCACCTCTAGCGGCTGTCAATGAGACAGCTGCTAGAGGTTTTGGGGGAAGGCTTAACCCATTGATAAACATAGCAGTTTCTCTGAAACTGCTATGTTTATAAAACAATGGGTTAACCCTAGAAGGACCTGGCACCAAGACCACTTCATTAAGCTGAAGTGGTCTGGGTGGCTAGAGTGGTCCTTTAAGAGTGTAGTGTGTGTGTGTATGTATATGTGTGTGTGTGTATGTGTATATATATATATATATATATATATATATATTTGGAAGTATTGTGTGTTGGGGGGGTTCTGTGTGTATGTGAGGGGTGCAGTATGTGTGAGGGTGCGGTGTATGTGTGAGGGTGCCGTGTGTGTGTGTGTGTGTGTGAGGGTGCGGCGTGTGTGTGATGTGTGTGAGAGTGCCGTGTGTGTGTGATGGGTGTGAGAGTGCCGTGTGTGAGTGATGGGTGTGAGAGTGCTGTGTGAGATGGGTGTGAGAGAGTGCTGCTGTGAGAGTGCTGTGAGAGAGTGCTGTGAGAGAGTGCTGTGTGTGTGTGAAAGTGCTGTGTGTGATGGGTGTGAGAGTGCTGTGTGTGTGTGAGTGCTCTGTGAGAGTGCGCTGTGTGTGATGGTGTGAGAGTGCTGGGTGTGAGAGTGCTGTGTGTGATGGGTAAGAGAGTGCTGGGTGTGAGTGATGGGTGTGAGAGTGCTGTGTGAGAGTGCTGTGTGTGATGGGTGTGAGAGTGCTGTGTGAGAGAGTGCTGTGTGTGATGGGTGTGAGAGTGCTGTGTGAGAGAGTGCTGTGTGTAATGTGTGTGAGTGCTGTGTGTAATGTGTGTGAGAGTGCTGTGTGTGATGGGTGAGAGTGCTGTGTGTGAGAGTGCTGTGTGTGAGTGCTGTGTGAGAGAGTGCTGTGTGTGATGGGTGTGAGAGTGCTGTGGGAGAGAGTGCTGTGTGTGATGTGGGAGAGAGTGCTGTGTGTGATGGGTGTGAGAGTGCTGTATAAATGTTATTGTGTGTGTGTGTAGGGGGGGTAAATAAAATAAAAATAAAAAAAAGTCATTATTTCCCCCCCTCCCTTCTTACCTTTAGCCTGGGAGGGGGGGGGACCGGCACGCTGGGACTGGGAGGGGGGGTCCGGCACGCGGTGTTCCCTGGTGGTCCTCGTGGGTGAGTGAACTCTAGCCCGTGAGGCTAGAGTTCACTCTCGCGAGATCCGGTCGTTGCCATGGCAACGCGCCGGATCTCGCGAGAGGAACCCGGCGGAGCTGCAAGTTAGAGCTCCGCCGGGTCCTCTCTCCAGCCTAGCTGGCTCCCTCCCTCCCTCCCCGCCGGCGGCCGCATGTGGGCCGGTCAGGGAGATCCTTGATCTCCCCACCGGCCCGTCGTGACAAACAGCGGGGCCGGCGCTAGGAGAGTGCCGGCCCTGCATAGACCGGCAGGGGAGATCCTGTGATCTCCCCTGCCGGCCTCGGCCCATGGCCACCGCGGCCCACCGGGCATTTGCCCGGTGTGCCCGATGGCCAGTCCGGGCCTGAGTGTATTCAGCAGTCTGTCTGTGTGTGTACTTAACAGACTGCTGAGTACGCACAGACAGCTGAGTACACACACACAGTCCGCTGAATACACATACACAGTCTGCTGAATACATGCAGTCTGTGATCATTCAGCAGACTGTGTGTGTACTCAGCAGACCCTGTGTGTGTGTGTGTGTGTGTGTGTGTGTACTCAGCAGATTGTGTGTGTGTGTACTCAGCAGTCTGTCTGTGTGTATCCAGCATTGTGTGTATTCAGCAGACTATATAAGTGTATTCACCAGTCTGTCTGTGTGTGTATTTAACAGACTGCTGAGTACGCACAGACAGCTGAGTACACACACATACACACAGTCTGTGATCATTCAGCAGACTGTGTGTACTCAGCAGACTGTGTGTGTGTGTGTGTACTCAGCAGACTGTGTGTGTTTACTCAGCAGACTGTTGGGAAAAAAAAGTCTGCTGAATACACACACAGACAGACAGCTGAATACATACACACAGTCTGCTGAGTACACACACTGCGGAATAGACATACAGTCTGCTGAATACACACACACACACAGTCTGTGTGCGTGTATTTAGCGGACTGTGTGCGTGTATTTAGCAGTCTGTGTGTGTATTCAGCAGTCTGTCTGTGTGTGTATTGTATGTATTGCAATTGTTGGAGATGCTAATAAATCTAAGCTTAATTTTATCTATAATTAAAATTTTTATTCCTGTGAGTTCTGTGTAGGCAGGGCCTTAGTGCACAGTTTTGCCCAGGGGCCCATAATGTTGTTAAGATGGCACTGGTGGGTGGGATAGAGGGCTACGAGGGAGCAATGTTCCAGCACTGCTCCCTCAGCTGATGCCGCCTAATATATTTAGCTGATGACGTCTAATATATTTAGCTGTTGTACTATGATTCGCTCTCCTAGATTATTTTACTTGCTTCAGTCACCCCCTTGTTATTTAATTTGAATTCTAGCTCCAGGTATTTCACTCTTAATTGCTTTTAGCATTCATGGTGTTCTTTTATGTGATTTCTGCTTAGGACTTTTTTTGTATTGTAACTTCCATACCTGTTTTGAGCTACGCTTAGTAGATCAGCCCCCCTTGAAACCATTTATAATTTTTATTCAGTGATTCTGATGGGGGCTAACCGCTGTGCCACCAATGTTATTTTGATGGGGGCTGACAGCTGTGTCAATGTTTTTATTCTGATGGGGCTGACCACTGTGCAACAAATGTATTTTACCATTTTCTGTAGATTTTGGAATGCCTACGTTAGTGGAGAATACCAGTGAAAGTGGTGCAACTAATGATTATTCTCATAATCAATTGGCTGTTTTGATTATTTTCATAATCAGTTGGCTGATTGTTTTGATTATTTTATTTATTTTTTTGCAGCACTTAATCTAAATTGCTCCCATGCCTTAAAAGACTTTGGACACTTTTTTGCAGAGGTTGAATCTGGTATGTATCCAAACCAGATTAAAAATTTTTTATACAAGCTACCTATGTCATTAAAGAGTTACTGTCACATGCCAATTTTTGCAGCCTTTGTGACAAGCCCCACAACAGACCAGAAAAAACAAATCCTAACATGTACCAGCCGCCAAAATGAAGCTTCCAGTGCCCTCTCTCTGCATCTAACTCCGTCAAACACAAAGAGACATATCACTTATTACTACACTGTGAGGGTACATGTCACTCACCAGCACGCTACGACTGTCAAACCTTGCAGTGTGGTAATAAATGACAAGTGTCCTTTCCACCCTTTACATTCGTAGTGTGGTAATAAGTGATATGTACTGTTTCTTTGTGTTGGTGAGCAATATGTACCCTTACAGTCTTTTGTTTTTATAAATTTTGTGTTTTTATAGACCTCACGTCACAAACACAAAAAATGTGTACAGCAAAAAAAGCAAAGTTTAAAACAGATAGTGGAAGATCATTCCAAGAAGCTTGGACAGAATAATTTGGAGTGATTGAACGCAATGGAAAAGCGTTATGTATTCTGTGTAGTGAAAGTGTTGTGTCCCGTACATCAAGTGTTAGACGTCACTTTGACACCAACCACAAAAGTGTTGCCAAACTTGGAGAATCTGAAAGAAAAGAGTTTCTTAAGGAGTCATTAAGGAAATATCACTCCCAGCTATCTTTCTAAATCAAATCATCTGACAGTTGCCAGCTTTCAAATTTCACTGTGCATAGCAAAACATGGTAAGCCTCTTTCTGATGGGGATTTTATCAAAATGGCCATGTTGGCTGGGAGTAGTTCCCTTTTTCATGATTTCCCAAACAAGGATAAAATTATGCAACGCATCTCTGAGATGCCAGTTAGCAGAAATACTGTTAAAGATAGAGTCCTGCGCATGGGAAGCGATGTTAGTCAGCAGCTCTCCACTGATTTACAAAAGGCAGCCTGTTACTCCATGTGCTTGGATGAAAGCACAGATATAAATAATCATGCAAGGTTAGCAGTCATTTTGCGTTATGCTGTTGGTGACATCATGAGAGAAGAGACATCATGAGAGAAGAGCTATTAAAATTGTTGTCCTTGCCTAGAAGAACACAAGGAATAGATATCCACAATGCTGTGATGGAGGCTTTTTTGGCACAAGAAATAAGACCAGAAAAGGTGGTATCCATTACTAGTAACGGAGCACCTTGCATGGCAACATCTGGTTTCATACAGTTCTTTGTTAAAGAAGCAAAACATCCACTCATACAGTTTCATTGTATTATACACCAGGAAGCTCTTTGTGCCAGGGACAGCAGCAAAAAATTAGAAGATATCCTCAAAGATGTCACTAAAATGGTGAATTACATCATGGCTCGTGCTCTTAATTTTCAACAGTTTCAAGCACTTCTTGATGAGGTACATGCACAGTATAACACTTTACTTATGTACAATAATGTCCGATGGCTGAGCAGAGGACGAGTCCTGGAGAGATTTGTGGCTTGTTTGGATGAAATTAGGCTGTTTATGAATGAAAAGGGGCAAGAATATCCCCAGCTCACTGATACGGCCTGGCTTACCAACCTCATGTTTTTTACAGATTTTACAGCACACTTCAATGTTCTGAACAAAAAACTGCAAGGTGTCGGGAAAATAGCAGAAAGGATGTTTTGTGATATCAGAACATTTGAGAGAAAGCTGCAAGTTTTTGAAAGAGACATTGAAAGTGGGCAGCTGAAATACTTTCCAAATCTAAAAATACATTTGGAAAATTCTATAATATTTACGGACAATCCTCCAAGCCATCAGGAAATCCACAAGGAACTTTCTAGCATTGTAGCAGCTGCTAAGGAGAATTGTAGTAACAGATTCTTGCAATTCCGGAAAATGGAGACAACCCTGTATTTTCTCACTTCTCCAGATAAAGCCAAATATGAAGAGCTTGATATTTCCTGCTTACACTGGTTAGATTTAGAAAATCTGGAAATGGAGCTACTAGAATTTCAAAAAAGCTCTATCTGGAAAAATAAATTCTATGCCCTGCGTGCCACACTTGAGAAGATAGAATGTGAAGGGATGACAACAGACAGCACAGTTGGTAGTTCTGAAAATGAAATCCTTAAAGTGTGGAATTCATTGCCGAATAATTTTAAGTCAATGAAAGCACTTAGGATTGCTCTTCTTTCGTTGTTTGGTCGTCTTATGCTTGTGAGCAGCTGTTTTCAGCATTAAATTATATCAAATCTGATACCAGAAACAGACTAACAGATGAATTGAGTGCTGCATGTGTTGCTCTCAAATTAACGGAGTATGAGCCAAGATTTGACAAACGTGCAGCATGTATACAGCAGCAAAAATCACATTAATTGTGCAAAAGAATGCTAACTGCAAACTTTTACTAATGCAGTGTTTGTGTCCAAGACACTAATTTAGGAGTTGTTTAAAGTGTGTTAAGCAAATTTAGTTTCCTTGTTTATCTTATTCATCCTCATTCAGGTTGACATTTACTGTAACTGTAAAAGACCCAGAGTAAGGCGTTTGTCATACAATTTCAGTCTGGCATGTAATCAGATTACAAGTTGAGTATCCCCTTGTACGCATCTTTGGCACAGTTTACATGCAGTTTTGCTGCAGCTGGATGGACAGAAACCTGATAAAAAAAATGCATGTCCAATGACATACATAGAAAACTGCAATAAAACTGGATGTAAGACGGATGTAATTGTGATGTAAACTGTTCCAAAGCAGCAAGTAAGATGCATGCAAACTGCGGGTGGATAGGTGGGAATAGGTCCTTAATAAGGTAAAGCACCACTGATCACCAGTGTGTTTTAATTTACTAAAATTATGTTTTTTCAATAAAAACACAGTTTGTATCATTGAACTCTCTGTTGTTATGTTCTTCTTTTAAAACAAAAGATGTTAATTAGTTCGGACAACTGTACGAGTTGTTTTTTCTAAACTTAAACCTCAGTATTCTATTTAAGTGCCGTGTTGGAACTTTGAGGAAAAAAAAGTTGGCATGTATTGCGGTTTGGGCACTCGGGCTCAAAAAGGTTCGCCATCACTGATCTAAGCTGTACACCCAACTTGTAGAGAAACTGTTTAAAGAAAGCAAAATAACTAAGCTAGACATGATTAATAATATTTCGACTTGCCCTGAAAACTGTGAAAGGATTAAAGGAGTAAATGCTAGATAGAATATTGACTTCAAATACACGAGTAAAGAGAGGCCAGTCTCCTATCTGGACATGAGTAAGATGGGATATTGACTGAAGAATATATGAGCGTGATACCCCAATACTGATAGTCTACACCTAGTGGAGGTGGAAGCTGGAGACTCTAGAGTACCACGGAACCACCAGGAAATGTAGTATGCCCCTTCCCTGGTCAGAAGTAATAATTACTGTATATACTCGAGTATAAGCCGACCCGAATATAAGCCGAGGCCCCTAATTTTACCACAAAAAACTGGGAAAAGTTATTGACTCAAGTATAAGCCTAGGGTGGGAAATGCAGCAGCTACTGGTAAATTTCTAAATAAAATTAGATCCCAATAAAATTACATTAATTGAATATTCGTTTACAGTGTGTGTATAGAATGAATGCAGAGTGTGTGTTTGTGTGTGTATACAATGAATGCAGTGTGTGGTTGTGTGTGTATATATAATGAATGCAGAGTGTGTGTTTGTGTGTTGTGTGTGTATATAATGAATGCAGAGTGTGTGTTTGTGTGTGGATATATAATGAATGCAGTGTGTGTGTTTGTGTGTTGTGTGTGTGTATATAATGAATGCAGTGTGTATATAATGCAGTGTGTGTGTTTGTGCAGTGTGTGTAAACTGGGTGAGGGGAGGGTATTTTTATTTTAATTTTTTTATTTTAATATTATATTATTTTAATAATATTATTTTATTATTATATTATTATTTTAATATTTGCATTTTTTTAAAATGTTTTTTGTCCCCCCTCCCTGACCAGGCAACAAGCAGGTAGGGGGGGACAAAAAAAACATTTAAAAAAATAATGCAAATATTAAAATAATAATAATATAATAATAAAATAATATTATTAAAATAATGCAAATATTAAAATAATAATAATATAATAATAAAATAATATTATTAAAATAATATAATATTAAAATAATATTATAATAATATTATTTTATTATTACATTATTATTATTTTAATGTTATATTATTTTAATAATATTATTTTATTATTATATTATTATTTTAATATTTGCATTATTTAAAAAAAAAAAAAATTTCCCCCCTTCCTGACCAGGCAACAAGCAGGGAGGGGGACAAAAACCATTTCAAAAAAATAATGTAAATATTAAAATAATAATAATATAATAATAAAATAATATTATTTTAATATTATATTATTTTAATAATATTAAATCCCTGGTGGTCCAGTGGCATTGGTTGTTCAGTGGGGGGGGGGGCTCGCGAGACTTACACTGGGAGAAGAACGGAGCTCACAGAGGAGCTGCACGGAGGAGAAGGGAACTGACAGGAGCTGCAGGAAGGTAAGTAACAGCTCGCTGTCAGCCCCCAACAGGACCGCCGGGCTTGTAATGAGCCCGGCTGTCCTGGTCTGTATTGTGGCAATATAAATTGCCACAATACAGACCTTGACTCGAGTATAAGCCGAGTGGGGGTTTTTCAGCACAAAAAATGTGCTGAAAAACTCAGCTTATACTCGAGTATATACATTATGTGGGGGTCATTAACCTTAAATAGTAATAATAATAATAATAATAATAATAATAATAATAAAAACTCTTACTCTCCACAGAACACAGCCCCTATCCTATCTTACAAATTCACACACTGCTTCCCTTACACACACTGCACCCACTATACGCAAACACATTGCATTCCTTATACACACTGCTTCTCTTACTCACTTTGCATTCCTTATACACAAGCTGGATGCCTTACACACACACACACACACACACTTTTTCCTTATACACACGTTGAATCGCTTATACACAAACGCCACATATAAAGAAAAACAAACTGCATCCCTTACGCACACACACTGCATCTGCTATATACACACACAACAGCACCACTATGTACACAGACTGCATACCTTTGGCTGGACTTAGGGTCCAGGTCCTGGAGGCAGACTTGGCAGGCAAATGTCCATACCAATTATTGATATCAGAATGTCTATGCTTAAAGAGAATGACTATTCATTAGACATGTGCACCAGTGAAATTTTTGTTTCGTTTGAATGATTTCGTACTACATAAAAATTTCATTCGTCAATCCCGAATTCGTTAAAAAATTATTAATTATTACACATGCGGAAAAAAAAAGCAAGAAAGGAGCCGGCAGCGTTACCAGCAATCTCCTTGTAATAAATAACTATTCCTACCCCCCTTCGCCCCACCCTGCATTAAAACCTATGCGGGTCATTATGGACGGTTAATTCCTACTTCATACCCCTACTCGCGGTATGCCTAAACAAATTTAAAACTACTAGTGACTGGGGCCAGTGGCTGCTTGCTGTCATTTCAAACACAATATAAATCGGTGTGGGGTTACTATGACCCCGCCGTTGAATGAATAACCCTGAAGTTTCAGCAGACGTGACCCTGACTGTAACACTGGAATACACCATGCTGATCGTCAGGCCTATTATGGTAGGGCAGGTAAGGGGGGGATCCATTATTATATAGGTCCCACATGCCCCTCCCACAAATCCAGGCCAAGCCTTTACATATATAAATGCCTTAGGCCTTATGCCTATCCCACGCATGCTTAAACTCCCTCACTGTGTTAACCTCTATCACTTTGGCTGGAAGGCTATTCCATGCATCCACTACCCTCTCAGTAAAGTAATACTTCCTGATATTATTTTTAAACCTTTGTCCCTCTAATTTAAGACTATGTCCTCTTGTTGTGGTAGTTTTTCTTCTTTTAAATATAGTCTCCTCCTTCAGTGTATTGATTCCCTTTATGTATTGAAATGTTTCTATAATATTCCCTCAGTCTCGTCTTTCTTCCAAGCTATACATGTTATGATTCTTTCAAACTTTCCTGATAAGTTTTACTTCTGAACCAGTTCAGTAGCCCTTCTCTGAACTCTCTCCAAAGTATAAATATTTTTCTGGAGATATATATACACATTTTGTGATTATCACAATTTATACCCTTTTATTTTTACACTGCAATAGACTTTCAAATGTATCAGGATTGTATGCCCCCTATAGGCAGGTACGGACTGGCCATCGGGCATAGCGGGCAAATGCCTGGTGGGCCACGATGGCCATGGGCCAAGGCCAGCTTGGGAGATCATAGGATCTCCCCAGCCGGTCCATGCAGAGCCGGCACTATCCAAGTGCCGGCCCTGCTGCCGACAGGCAGTGAAAGGCGGCTGCAGGCTGGGGATGGAGGGAAACAGGAGAAGACCCAGGGAGCTCTGGCTTGCAGCTCCTCATGGCTCCTCTCACACGATGGGAGCGTTGCCGCTGTTACCATGGTAACACTCTCAATCTCGGGTGAGTAACTAGATCTCCTAAACACACTCTGGCTCCTTCAAACACACACTACATTCCTGACATACACACTCTGGATCCACTGTACACACACTAGATTCCTTGTAAGCAAACACATACTACATTCTCTAAACACACACTCTCTTCAACCCCTACACACACTACATCACCTATACACATACACACAATCATTACTTCCCTTATACACACTATGCCCCCTATACACACTCTTCAGCACAGGTGTGCATATGGTCTACCCTGGAAGACAGGGGGCGTGCTTGTCATTGGTGATAACAAAAAAAACACTGTATCTGACTCCGCCCCCTCTCAGTCGGCCACTGTGATAAAAAAATGCCCAGGCCGAAATTTTGTCCCAGTCCAGCCCTGAATATAGGTGAAAGCTAAAGAGTTATTGATGTATCTGGTTATGGATGTAAATCAGCAGTGAATAATCCTGTTAGTTAAATTTCTCCTTCTTTTTTGGCATGCTTTCCCTGCGTTGACCTCCATGCGCAAAGAACAGAGTTTGTAACATTGATTGACATCGAGCTAAGATGGAGGCACCCAGCTGCAGGATAAAGAGGTGTGGGTTTAAACTTTACGTTTAATATTCATATTGTTTATTTTTCATATCTCACAAATACATGTGGGTCAAATATAGGGTATGTAAACATAATATAAAAAAAAAAAAAAAACAGGGTGTTACAATGTCCCTTTAAATCAGGGAAGGTGATAAAGAAGAAATACATAACCTTAAAAAAAGAACATTGTAATAGGGAGTGGGAGTGTGGAGTTATAATGGTATCGTCTCATTTAGTATATGCTATAAAAAAAATCTAAGGTAGGGTAGGCTAATGACTTAGAAGCAGAACGTGTCATTTAATAAAGATACATACCTGTATCCCAAGCAGGAAATGTGACTTTATGAACTACAGCACTCAGTAAACATAGCTACACACAAAAGGAGTAAAATAATAGACAATCTCAAACAGAGAGTCTTGGTGAGGGAATTATCATCGAAAATCATAACAATTGGCAAATATTCAACGATTTACTCTTCTATCTCTATTTTATCACCTTGAAACAGAGGTACGTCATCTGCAGCTTCTATGAGGAGCATTGGATTGGATCATCAACGAAAGGAGGTCATGACTCCTTGATGATGTTGTGGGAGGCGGAGAGGTGAGTGGTACTGAGGTGCACTGGAAAAATGATTTTATAAATTTACTGGAAAAAGGAGGGGAGACCTATATATAACTAGGGACAAGGATACTATAAAATTTGTAATACATGTTTTCATTCCTAACTCTATAGTGTTCCTTTAACCTTGGCTTTTGGTTTATTTATAAATACCTAAGATTTTCCTAAGTTAAGAGTAATCCAGACCTATACACCTTAGTCATTGTGCCTAGAGAGATAACAGTAACTCCACATTAAAGGAAGCTGGGCATGGCAAAGCAAGTGTCTACAGTTTCTGTATCACTCATGAAGAAATAACTTGATAACTTATATGCGTTGAAATTCTCTCATGGAGGTGATCAATCTGATATTCAAACAGAAAGGTTCTCTGAGCTAAAAGTAGCTTGACTAACCAAAGGGCAAGCTACTGAGTTTCACTAAGAATGTGTCTGTTCTCTAAATTCTCATATTCTTTGTTTTTGCTGCAAGACAACCTGTTTGGGCTCTCCCTAAGTAAAAATGGTCATCCACACGTTCCCAATGTGCCTAGAGTAGTATCAGTTACACCTCACTGACAATGCCCAAAGAAGGACGAAACAATCACCCAACTAACCAGATTTGGGATCAATGTAAGTTATTAACAGGACACAACAAAGTCAAAGGCTTGTCCCCTAGAGCCTGCCATATTGCAGTATTTTAAATAGATATTAATGGGCCTGAATTGTAATTGCTAACAATTAAATTTCTGTTAGATCCATTTATGGGTTGCTCTTTTTCATAAAGCGGGAGAGGTTTGCTGGAATCCCAATCCATTCAGGAAGAAAAAAAGCATTATTTATCCTTATTTTGTGTTCAGTAAAGTCACCTAAGGAGTAATTTGCCAGGTAAATGGTTTCACCTCCTACCAGGTACCCAGCCCAATACCCAAATGTTCCTATAGTCATAATAGTGTGGTTACAGTGTGCCAGGAGGGCAAAGTCACGTCCAGGAGAAACTTCCTTGCCATCTCCAGCGAAGTGGACATCCCCCAGTGAATTGTCTATATTCTCCTTGCACCAGTCCATGCCATTACTGGTCACTACAAATATTGGGTTTTGATATTTATTTCTAAAATAGTCCATGGATTTCTGGAAATATTCCTTATCAGCGACAACTCCTTTCCTGGTTTGCATAATGTTTACATAGTCTCCTCTGCGGACATGCACCCCAACAAAGGTAACATTTTTCTTATTCCCTTGTACATTAGCAAGATAAGCGTAGCTCTCCTCCTTAATCCATTCGTGAAAACTAAATTCTTTAAGAATCTCATCCTTTATATTGTGATAAACAGTCCAGGAGCAAGGATAGCCATTTAGTCTCACATACTCTCCTTGAATGTTCATGTATTCTGGATTCATCCGGTAAGTAAGTCTGTAATCTATCCATTTAATACGATCAACAATTTCCTGGTGAATCATGGGGAGGCGAATTTTAAAGATTCTGGACAGCTGGTCATGCATTCTTGGTAAGATGTAGGCTTGGTGACCATTAAGTCTTGCAAGAACATAAAGTGTAGCATACTCGCCCATGAAATTTCCTAGGCGTCCGCCAGCAGTTATTGTCATCATACCTGAATGAGGTGACTTGGTGGCTGCTGTTGCCATAGTTTGTTCAAGTTGTGCCTGTGTGACAATTCCAATTGTATAATTTGTCATGTTTTTAAATAATGTGTTGGGATGGTAAAAGTATGAAATACTCACTATAAAGAGGACAACTGCAATGCATAAGATACAGAGAGGTTTGTTCATTTTCCAGGTGTCAAGTGCCTCACCAAAAGCTAAAAAACAAACAAAATAATTAATATAAGCTGTAGATAAATAAGTAATATTTTCATAAACTCTTGCGTAATACCTATTGTAATTTATATTTTTTCATTTGTAATTATGTGTTAATTATTAGTAGAAAACTTATTGCTACTGGTTTATTATTCTAAATGTTAAAGGGTCACAGCAGACGTAAAGATAGTCAAATTCTTGCATAAAAAATTATTCTGCCAATAATACTGGAAAAATGAAATATCTTATTCCAGCAATATGATCACAACAGACCCGGACTGGCCATCGGGCAAACTGGGCAAATGCCGGTAGGCCGCAATGGCCATGGGCCGAAGCCGGCAGGAAAGATCAAAATATCTCTCCTGCCGGCCCATGCAGGGCAGCACCAGCCCAAAGATGGAGTTCTGTCCCATCATGGACTGGAGGGGAGATCGGGCAGTGAGCCGGTCACCCTCCGCGCACGCCGAGCAGTTTCCTTTCTCTTCTTCTCGTTAGCTCCGAGATTATCAGAGCGTTGCCATGGTAACCCGCGGCAACGCTCTGAAAAAAGGGTGCTCGCGAGAGGGAGATGGTCTGTACCCTGCGGGGTACAGTCTGAAATCACCTGCTGGCTGGACCACCAGGGTTCTGTGTGCGGCGTGGCCCCCCCCAAACTGGACCACCAGGTACCTGCATGTTTCCTCTCCCCTCTGCACAGTTATAATAGGGAGTACATGTTGTTGTTTTTTTTAAATTATTAAATTATGAATTTAAGCCCATATCAAATCACAACGTTATAAAAGAAGGTAAATGGTAATTTTTTTGTTTAACTTTTTTTAAAATTAAATAATTAATTAAAGACCATATCTATGTACATCCTGCACTAACACACACTTCACCCCCTGCACTAACACAGACACACACTGCATCCCCTACACTAACACACACACACACACACTGCACCCCCTGCACTAACACAGACACACACTGCATCCCCTACACTAACACAAACTGCACCCCCTGCACTAACACAGACACACACTGCTTCCCCTGCACTAACACACACTGTACCCCTGCACTAACACAGACACACACTGCATCCCCTGCACTAACACACACACTGCACCCCCTGCACTAACACACACACACACACACTGCACCCCCTGCACTAACACACACTGCACCCCCTGCACTAACACAGACACACACTGCAACCCCTGCACTAACACACACACACTGCACCCCCTGCACTAACACAGACACACACTGCAACCCCTGCACTAACACACACACACTGCACCCCCTGCACTAACACACACACACACACTGCACCCCATGCACTAACACACACACAAACACTGCACCCCCTGCACTAACACACACACACACACACACACACACACACTACACACACTGCACCCCCTGCACTAACACACTACACACACACTGCACCTCCTGCACTTACACACAAACACACTGCACATATGCTATACCTGTCTTTAACCACCAGGTACCTGCATGTTTCCTCTCCCCTCTGCACAACTATAATTGGGAGTACATGTTGTTGTTTTTTTAAAAATGATTAAATTATGAATTATGAATTTAAGCCCATATCCAACCACAACGTTATAAAAGGAAGTAAATGGTAATTTTTTTGTTTTACTTTTTTTTTAAATTAAATAATTAATTTAAGACCATATCTATATACACCCCCCTCACATACAGAGACACTGCACCCCCTACACTAACACACACACACACTGCACCCAGTGGTGTATCTTGTTTTTGTGCTGCCCTAGGCAGGACAAAACTCAGGCGCCCTCTACCCCCGCGCCACCCCCACCCAACCCTTCCCCCCCGCCCCACCTTCTAAATACACACACACACAGTCAGACACACACACACACATAAACACAGACACACAGACACAGACACACAGTCAGACAGAGACACACAGTCAGACACACACACAGTCAGACACAAACACACAGTCAGACACACACACATACAGTCAGACAGACACACACACACAGTCAGACACACACACAGTCAGACACACAAACACACACACACACAGTCAGACACACACACACAGTCAGACACACACAGTCAGACACACACAGTCAGACACACACACACACAGTCAGACACAAACACAAACACACAGTCAGACACACACACACACACACACACAGTCAGACACACACACACACACACACACACACAGTCACTCACATTAACACTTTTTTTATTATTATTATTTAACCCCCCCCCCAGCCTCCTTACCTTTGGGAGTGCTGGGAGGGAAAGGGGTTCATTTACTCCCTGTGGGTCCAGTGGTTGCCGGGCTGGGCGGGAGGGCAGGCGGGCGGCTGGCGAGGGAGCGCTTCCTCTGAGTGGTCTGCTCAGCTCCCTCGTGCGCCGCAGAGTGAGGCTGGGAGCCGGGTCGATGACGTCATATTCCGGCTCCCAGCCTCACTCTGCGGCACGCGAGGGAGCTGAGCAGACAGCTCAGAGGAATAGCTCCCTCGCTAGCTGCCCGCCTGCCAACCAGCGCCGCCCGCCAGCCCAGCATGTCAGTTAGCCGTGAGGCTAACTAGGCATTTGCCCTGGGCATTTGGGGGCAGCGTTTTTTGCCGCCCCCTGAAAAATTCCACCCAAGGTAAATTCCTTATTTGCCTCGCGGCTAATACGTCCATGACTGCACCCCCTGCACTAACACAGACACACACTGCATCCCCTACACTAACACACACAAACACTGCACCCACTACACTAACACAGACACACACTGCACCCCCTGCACTAACACACACACATTGCACCCCCTGCACTAACACACACTGCACCCCCTGCACTAACACACATACACTGCACCCCCTGCACTAACACACACACTGCACCCCCTGTACTAACACACACACACACACACTACACACACTGCACACACTGCACCCCCTGCACTAACACACTACACACACACTGCACCTCCTGCACTTAAACAAAAACACACTGCACATATGCTATACCTCTCTATAAATACTACACACACTCTATATCCCTGTATGCACATTACACCCTCTGCACTCACACAAACACACTACACACACTCTATACCCCTTATATACACACTATACCCAGAGCACTCACATACGCACAGTAAATACACTCTATACCGCCTAAACAAACACTGCACTCCCTGCACTCACATAATTTATACCCCTATAAACACACATATTACACCAATTTATATCCCCTATAAATACACATTCTACACCCCCTGTACACACTACACCGCCTATGCATGCATTGCCGCACCTATACACATATGCTCTACAGCCCCTATATGCATACACACACTAGAGCCCCTAGATACACTCTATTTCACCATGTGAGTGTGCTTCATTTGGATAGTATATCACTCTATTTGTTTAAGACATACTGCACCATATTTTGTCTATTTTTTTCCCTCAGACATTCAGTTGTATTTTATTCCCTTATTTTAGGGTAAGTGTACATATTCAGCGCTCCACTGGTTTTTGTTTCATGTGGTTGGTTCTTCCCACTCAAATAATATTCCACTATCTGGTCTACACTCACAAACACACTGTACAGCCTTACATGCACACACTACATGCCCTAGGCCCACATACTCCACAGGCCCTCTAAACACACACACACTTTACAACTCAGAAACACACACACACTACAGCCCCTAGCCACACATAGTACGCCACAAACAGACCCCTTTACACATATAATACAAGAAAAATAGTTATTTGGTGGGGGTTGCATGTTAATGGTGGTGACTAGTGATGTCGCGAACATTAAATTTTCGGCAAATGTTCGCGAACCCGCGAACCGGGCGAACCGCCATAGACTTCAATAGGCAGGCGAATTTTAAAACCCACAAGTTGTATCAAGGGGACTAACACCTGGACTGTGGCATGCAAACTCCGATCCGTGGCTGCATCTTGCATCTCTACATTTACCTGTCACTGCACTCTGATTGGTTGGTTTGAAATCCACCAATCAGAGTGCTCTGTGTCATTTTACACAGCGTGGGAAAGTTCTTTGGAATTTTCTGATTAATCCACCAATCAGAGAGTTATGAGTCAAATTACACAGTGTGGGAAAATTTGACTCATTATTTGACTCATAACTCTCTGATTGGTGGATTAATCCACCAATCAGAGAGTTATGAGTCAAATTACACAGCGTGGGAAAATTCCAAAGAACTTTCCCACGCTGTGTAAAATGACACAGAGCACTCTGATTGGTGGATTTCAAACCAACCAATCAGAGTGCTGTGACAGGTAAATGTAGAGACTTACCTGTCAGTCTCTTCATTTACCTGTCAGAGCACTCTGATTGGATGGCTTAAACCCACCAATCAGAGTGCTCTGAGCCTAATTGCAGGGCGGGGCAAGGCTTTATAAGCCTTCCCCCGCCCTGCAGAGCTCAATCTGCACGGAGCCCTCACCGGTGAACATGGATTATTTTTTTTGCGCTCGTTTTTTTTTTTTTTTTATTGCGTCGGTTATTATGGTTTTTTATTTGGCCTTTTTTGGGGCTGAAAAAAGAAGATTTAGAAGAAAGAAAACATTGAATGGTAAGTTTTATTTATTTTTTACAGGTACTTAGTTAAAGGTCCCCCCCTCATTATTTTTAGGGTGAGGGGGGTAGGTAGGGGGTTAATTTTTTTTGGGGGGGAGGGGGTGACTAGGGGTTTGGGGACACCTAGTCACCTGGGGGGGAGGACATTTTTTTTAGGGCCCCCACCCGCCACTCAGGGGTGGGGGCCGGGGGGGAGGACATTAGGTCCCCCCCCTTCTTAGTATTTAGGGCCC